TAGATAAGTTGTATACCGATACTTCTTTGCCTGGTAAATTGTTTTTGCTTGAGAAGTTCTATAGGTTTAGGCTTGACCTGACCAAAGACATATATGAGAACCTAGATGTGTTTAACAAGCTTATTCAGAACATTAAGCAAGCCGGTGATAAACACATAGATGACTACACACCCATAGTGTTACTTAATGCCATCCCTGACTCTTACAATGACGTCAAATCTGCCATAAAGTATGGTAGAGACGATATCTCGTTAGATATAGTCGTTAATGGATTAAGGAGTAAGGAGTTAGACCTTAGACACTCGAGGGGTAGTAACAGTCAATCTAAGGATTCTGGTGAAGCGTTGCTTGTGAGGGGTAGGTCTAAGAGTAGATCTAGAAACCATAAGAAGGGTAGCAACAATAAGAACCAGACCAATAACAATGACCCGGGGAAGAAGAGAGGTAAGTCTAAGAAGAGAGTGTGCTATAATTGTGGTAATTCTAGTCACTTCATTAAGGATTGTCCCCATCCTAAGAAGTCTGAACATGCTAATGTGGTAGATGATAATAACTTGCATGAAGAAGTTTTTATGGTCTGTGATTCTGCAAATTCTGTGTTGAGTAGCATGACTGAAAATGAGTGGTTGATTGACTCTGGTTGTACTTATCATATGACACCTTTTAGATCTCTGTTTGCTTCTTATGATTCTTGCAATGATGGTTTTGTGTCTCTTGCTGATAATAAGAAATGCAAAATACATGGGGTGGGTGATGTATGCTTAAAGTTTGATAATGGGACTGTGTTTACTATGAAAAATGTGAGGCATGTCCCTGATTTGCGTCATAACTTGTTTTCTGTCGCTGCTTTTGAGGGTAGTGGGCTTGAGGGTAAATGGGGAAATGGGTGCATGAAAGTTTTGAAAAATTCCCTTGTTTTGTTTAAGGAAAAAAAGGTGAATAATTTGTATGTGTGCCATGCTCAGCCTTTCTGTGATTCTGCTCATGTTGTTAGTTCTGATAAAACTGCTTTGTGGCATAATAGATTAGGACACATGAGTAATAAGGGTTTAGAGATTTTGCATAAATCTGGTTGTTTTGGTAAGGATTCTGTGTCCTCCATCCCTTTCTGTGAATCTTGTGTGTTAGGCAAGCAGCATAAAGTTACTTTCCCCTCTTCCCCTTATCCTAATCCCACTAAGTGTACCTCTGTGCTAGAGTATGTTCATGCAGATGTGTGGGGTCCTGCTAGTGTCTCTACCCACGGGGGTAAGAGATATTTTCTGTCCATTATCGATGATTTCTCTAGGAAGGTGTGGGTCCGTCTTCTTGAGCATAAGTCCGATGTCTTTGTGAAATTTAGGGAGTGGAAAACCCTTGTAGAAAATCAAACCGGTAAGATGGTCAAAACCCTTAGGACCGATAATGGATTAGAGTTTTGCAATAAGGATATGGACCAGCTCTGTGTTGATTGTGGGATTAGAAGGCACAAAACTGTGCCCTATACTCCCCAACAAAATGGGATAGCCGAGAGAATGAATAGGACTGTTCTAGATAAGGTTAGGAGTATGCTTGCCACCTCCGGTTTGTCTAAAAAGTTTTGGGGTGAAGCAGTCAATACTGCTGTCTACTTGATTAATCGGTCTCCTTCTGTTCCCTTGGGTGGGAAATGCCCTGAATCTGTTTTTTCAAACAAGCCCCTTGATTTGTCTAATCTTAGAGTGTTTGGGTGTGCTGCGTATGTGCACCAACAAGGTGACAAATTGGATCCTAGGTCTAAGAAAGGAGTCTTCTTAGGTTATCCTGAGGGTGTGAAGGGGTACAGGGTTTGGGATAGGAACCAGGTAGGTTTCAAGGTTGTGGTAAGTAGAAACGTTGTGTTCAATGAATCCGAGTTCCCTTGTCTGGTTAAGTCAGTTCCTGATTCTGAGTCGAGCCCTAGTAGTACACCTGTTGAGGTGGAATCCATACCATATGCTGCTAGTCCTTTGTTTGCTAATCATGATTCTTCTAATTTGCATGATTCTTCTGAATTGCATGATTCTTCTGAGCATGATAATACCACCACTTCGAGTGAGGTGGAGCATTCTCATGTGCATTCAAATGACAATGAATCGCATGATGAGAGTGCTGATCCTAGTGATAATGTTTTACATGATTACCAACTTGTTAGAGATAGAAGTAGGAGAGAAATTAGGAGAACTGCTGATAGCATGCCTGATTTTGCTTTCCATACGTGTGATACTTCTATGTTTGCTTTCTCTGTGTTTGAGACCCTTGAGCTTAACGAACCTAAAACCTATAGGGAGGCCCTTAAGTCTAATGAGTCCGCTAAATGGCTTTGCGCCATGGAGAGTGAGATGGAGTCACTTAGAGCGAATAAGACTTGGACGTTAGTTCCTAGACCGCCCAATAGTTCCGTAGTTGAGTGTAAGTGGCTATTTAAGGTTAAGGAAGAGCCTAACGACATTAGATATAAGGCTAGGTTAGTTGCTAAGGGATTTACTCAAAAGGAAGGTGTTGATTATGCTGAAATCTTTGCTCCTGTTGTTAAATTCACTACGATTAGAACTATGTTTGCTCTTGTTGCTCATCATGATTGGGAAATGAAGCAAATGGACGTCACCACTGCTTTCTTGCATGGTGATTTGGACAAGAAAATCTATATGACCTAGCCTGAGGGCTTTGTGGATCCCATGAAGAGTAATTATGTGTGTTTGCTTAGGAAGGCCTTGTACGGCCTGAAGCAGTCCCCGAGGCAGTGGAATATCAAATTTGACCAGTGCATGTCATCTTTGAAATTTCACAAGTCCGAGTGCGACCATTGCCTATACTTTAAAGATACTTCTTCTGTGCCTGTATTTTTATTGCTTTATGTGGATGACATGTTGATTGTTAGTCCTTCGGGTGACGCCATTAAAGGTGTGCAAAAGCGTCTCAGTGAGAACTTTGCAATGAAAGACCTAGGTGATGCCAAGAGGATCCTAGGCATTAACATTGTTAGGGATAGGAGTAAGCGTGTGTTAGTACTCAATCAGATTTCATACATTGAAAAGATTTTGAGTAAATATAACATGCATTCTGCTACTACCGTCTCTATCCCTATGGCGTCCCACTTTGTGTTAAGTAAGGATCAGTCTCCCAAGACTGCTCCTGAAATTGCTAAAATGAAATCTGTGCCTTATTCCAATGCTATTGGGTCCGTGATGTACCTCATGGTGAGTACTAGACCCGACATTGCCTATGCTGTTAGTTGTTTGAGTAGGTATATGTCTAATCCTGGTTTACCTCATTGGAATGCTCTTAAGTGGTTGCTTAGGTACTTGAAATCTTCTGTTAATCATGGGTTGGTTTTCACTAGGTGTTCTGAGGGTGTTAAGTTGAGTGGGTATGTGGACTCGAATTTTGCTAACGATAGAGACAATAGGAAATCCACTACCTCTTATGTGTTTACTCTTTGCGGGTCTTGCATTAGTTGGAAGTCTCAACTTCAACCCATTGTTGCCCTTTCCACTACTGAGTCCGAGTATGTGGTCGCTACCGAAGCTTTTAAGGAAGCCATTTGGCTTAAACGTCTCCTAAAGGAGATTGGTAGTCTTAATCAGGACATTTGTGTGTTTTCTGATAGTCAATCTGCTATTCAACTGTGCAAAAATCCTATTTTTCATGATAGAACTAAGCATATTGATGTTAGATTTCATTTTATACGTGATATTGTTAGTGCAGGTGATATCAAGTTGATTAAAATTCCGTCTGAATTTAATCCTGCTGACATGGGGACTAAATGTCTCTCTGTCGAAAAGTTGTTGTCGTGCAAGCGCACGTTAAACATTGATTGCGGTTAAGTTGCCTGGTGATCTTACCCCTTTGCCTGAATATGTCTTTGTGATTATTCGGGCAATCCAGCGATGATGAGTCTCAAATTGTTTTAGAGCGTTGTGCTCTACACCATTATGGTCCAATAAGGTGGAGAATGTGTTAGGTATTGACCCAGTATTTTCCATAAGCCCAACTCAACTTAGGGTGCACTGGCCCATTGTTCTTTTCCTCTTCCGCACCGAGCCTTTGATGTTGTCGATCGGCTTCTTCTCTCGCGGTTCTTTCCTTCCCTGGGTAGTGATGTGCATATCTCCTTTGCAAGGTAAGTTACCATTCTTGGTGCCTTTACTCTGCCTATTTAATGTCTCTCCTTCTCGGTCGATTCAGGGCTTGGCCGAAACCCTCTTCTCCCTCTTTTTCGCACATTGACTTGGTTGGTCGGAATTAGGTTGAGTTGGCCGGAAAATAGCCCGTTGGTTGACGCCCCTTTCCCTTTATAGACTGTAGTGGTGGTTCTTCATCCTTTGTGGGTGAAATCGGAGACCTGAGCTGGAAATTACAGACTTCAATTTTCCGGTTTCAATAATTGTTACAAAGGTGCTTTTGCTTATGTACTCTTGATGAACTGTGCAAGTTGTAATGACTTACTCAGTACTCTTTTCACACCATTCCCTCTTAATTAGCTCATTTTGTTCTTAAATTATCACGTCGTAACATGATAAAATTAATATAAAGAATTTATTAATCAAGTGTTGTGGTAGTATGGTGTGAACTGGATGCATTATGTGCAAGGACCTTGACTCTTTTGTTTTCATAAGCTCATTTTAATAGATGCAGAATGTGTATGAAGTAAATCAATATATTTGAATGAGATGATGAGTAGAATCCATGATCTTCCAATGGTTGTTTATTTGAATATTGTTGCATGCTCTCTTTTTTATCCAATTATGTAGGCAGGGGTGGAGACAGGGGGCTGGCGGTGGCCACGGCCCTTGCAAGAAAAAAATTGTGATGTATTTATATATGTATAAATATTTATAAGTACTAAAAATATAGTGAAAATTTAAGTTTTAGTCCGTGCTATAGCTAGTTCTGTTACAGGGGCCCTGCTATACGTCAATCCTGGCTCCGCCACCGTTACAGAACTAGCTACTTAAAGGTTTGGATTAGGTTGTGATTTGTCCTTATTTCGATTTCTTAGATTAGGTTGGGTTGGGCAGAGTTGCCGGAGAAAACTGGTTCACATTCTGCCGCACTCAGTTCTCTGGCGGATGATTAATGATGTTGTTGTAAAAGTGTGCTATTATTTGCTTCCTCCCCTTCGCTATTTGCTTTACATGTGTTACTGCTACTTATTATAACATTCCTCCCCTTCGCTATTTGCTTTACATGTGTTACTGCTACTTATTATAACATATCAAAGAAAGCTCCGATAGTAAAACTGTGCTGATTTTAAAAAATTATTTAGCAAACCTTAAGGACTAGTTAATAAGTTAGTTTAAACATTTGGGAATTGTATTCTCAGAAAATGGATGTATTAGTCATGAAAGTTGAATTAACCTGATGAACAAGAGGTAAGATGCTATAATAATATTTGCTTATACCATTAACAAATAATTTTAATAATGATATTTCTTTATTATGCATATATATTATCTGGTTAGTGAGAAAGTTTCCGGTGAGTAAAAATTGATCCACTCGCGTATTTATATGACTACTCTGTTTTGTATTGAAGGAAAATCAAGTCTTAAAAGAACGAAAAAAGCACATCAACTGCCCCTATTTCTCTTCCAAATAAAGGCAGGGCTTTCGGTGATGATACTCACTCAGTCAAATTGGTTCTTCTTGAAAATCAAGACATACAAATCTTTGGGTCTGGAATTGCTAAAACGCCATGTAAATTTGATTTGTGCAGAGGCTGGTTTGCGCGTATGGGCTACCTGCGCCTTTCCAGGTTTTCTGATGATCATTTTAAGCTTTCCGTCGATTAAACGATTGCTAACTACCGGTGAGCGTAATTTAGATATTCAATTATTTTTATTTAATCTTATTTAATTTATTAGTGGCAGTCTTTAGTAATCTGAGGGATGTATATAGAATTAAATTACTAATCACAACCATTAAATTAAATAAAAATAAATAACTTTGGTTCAATATTTAAAGGGAAAACTGTTAAATAAGTCCTCGTACTATCAAAAATAAAAAAGGATCTTTCAATATTGCATAGGCAATATTGATCTCATTTGAAAGATCATGAAAAATAAAAAATGTTGATATAAATTTTATAAAAATCGGATCAAAAATAAAAAAGTTATTATCATTTTTTAACAACAAAAGCAAAAAAAAAAAAAAACAGGCATAAGCTGCGTCGTTTTGCAACCGGGCACACCAACCTCATGGTGCACCAATTGCACGGTATAATCTGCCCGGTGCATGGACATCGGTTTTTGAAAAATATGTAACTATATTTAGCGTAACAAGTATTATTATTATGGAGTATTAGTTTTTTTGACTTTGTATAAAACTAAGGTATGAGTAAACTTTTTATAATGACTAGCTTCACCGCTTTCACGGTCCCTTACCTCAGAACCCCGACTTTGGCTTGGCTCTACGAGTTAGTATACACCGTTTGGCCCTACCACTTGAAGGGTTTTTTGGAGGATCATAGTTCCGCATGTGCTAGTGAGACTCGAACACGAGACCTCTTCTATGCAGAGGTAATCTCACAACCAGCTAGATCAGATGATCCGGTTAAAACTAAGGGAGTACTTCGTGGATACTTTTCTTTAACTTTGGCCCTAGAAATTATTATGACCAAGGGAGTACCGGCGGAGTTAAGAGGACCAATTTAGGTTCTACCTCATCCCAATTCTAAAAGTTTTTTAAAAAAGGTGACAATTCCAGTAATCAGGTATCATAGAATCTACCTAAAAAAATTGTGTAAAAAGATCTTTTTCAAAATTCTTTGTGCCTACCGAGGTCAATATATTGCTTTAGCTACGCCACTAATTATAACTATCACGTGCTATTGCATCATTTAATTTATTATTTTTATAAATAATAAGAAGTATTTTTTCATATTAACTCATACTCCGTATTTAAGATACTTGATCGTTAGGACTTTTTTTTTCTAATAGTCATTCAAAATAAGCATATGTTTATACCTACTTTCAATGTAAGTAATTGCTCAAAACGTACACATACTCCCTTCATTTCTCAAACTTTAGTCAAATTCTTTTTTTAGTTGTCCCATAAAAGTTTACTGTTTTCATGCAAAGTAATATATTTGTAAGTAGTATTTTTCTTTTATACAAATCTCAAATACACGATTTTTTATCAATACACATGCAAATCAAATTTAGCCAATTTTAATGGAATGAAGGGGGTATTATTGTCATGTGCATCACAGAGGAACAATACTAGTTTGTATATGAATACATAAACTATGAATATGAGATTTGTTTATAATTTTCAAAAAGAAACCAAGCACACAATTATTTAGTTTTCTCATGTCTCTTCAAAAAGAAACCAAGCACACAATCACTTAGTTTTCTCATGTCTCTTCAAAGATGTGCTTAGACGATGGTTGATTTCTCTAACAGCGAGGAAAACATGGGTTATAATAATGTATTTATATAAGGATTACTATGTAATTTCCTAAACTGTGTTTAGTATAAATATTACCTCATGACATTCAATCGGGTACGTCATTATTTCCCAAAATTATTGTTTTGTATATGGTATCGGACGCTTAGGTATTTTTCCTCATGGCCGTCCAACCTAACCCTACCGCCGCCGCCAGTACGGCGCCCGTCACGGCGGCGTAGCCCGTCTTCTCTGGCGTTTCTCCCATATCTACCGCAGCGCTCACTAGTGACTCAACGGCTGGTTCGAGCAGCACATCGGCGCCCTTCCCGCAGATATCAACGCCGACCGGTCCTTTCTCTACCGCGCAAATACGCTCGCCGCTGCCGGTCTCTTTATCGCAGCGCTCCCACGGAGTTCCAACGCTCGATTCCTATCGGTTATTCAACATGCCCGAGTCATTCACATGGGCACCGTCAGTTTCCATGGTCGCAACACTCCCACCGCCTCCAGTGTTCCGGGACCCGGGCAGATCATCCATCATCTTTTCTTGCCCGACTTTTTCTGGACAGCCCAGCGTGGCTCCACTGCAGCAGCCTGTGATTTCCTCCATGACAAGTTTTAATTCTCCAACCAGTTATCTATCTTCCCTGGCATCGCAATTGGTTTTCTCTACAACGAATGTAAATAATATTGTGACTACCCGTCTATCTTCGGTAGAAGATTATTTGCCCTGAAGAACACAATTTGAATCATTTTTAGTTTCTCATAGTTTGTTGGGTATTATTGATGGATCTATTCCGATCCCATCCACTACTACATATGATTTGTCCAGACAGAAAATTCCCAATGCTGATTATCACCACTGGCTAAAAATTAATCAAATTGTACGCTCTTGGCTTTTTGCTACGCTAGCTAGAGATGTGTTAATGGAAGTCTGTGGTTTAAAATTTTCTCATCTGATATGGGATAGACTCCAGAAACGATTCATGTATGGTTGTATTTCTCGTTCCATTGAGCTAAAGCGTTTATTATCTCATGTAAAAAAGAAGGACCCCTGACTATGGATCAATATTTGTTAGAAATTAAAATCTTAGCCGACTCTCTAGCGTCCATTAATTCTCCTGTAAGTGCATGTGATTTGATTGAATATGCTATTATTGGATTGGGTCGTGGATATGAGTCACTCATTACCACCATCGACTACATGTCGGGGATTCCTACACTTGAAGACATACGACCCATTTTGCAAGCCCAGGAGCAGCACAATTTATTCCTCCAGGCTCAAGAATCGGTCCCAGTTCCCCAGGCGTTTGCTGCACCTCATGCAGGCTGAGGGGTGCTCCAGGTGGAGGGGGTGCTCCGCAGGGTCCTGGTCGAGGCTGAGGACAGAGAGGGGAATGTGGTCGAGGGGGTAGAGGTCGAGGAGGCCGAAGGGGTTACTACCAGCAGCCCTATGGTGCTTATGGAGCCGCACCACAGCCACATGGCGCTTACCAGAGACAGCCTGCTCCTCCACAACCGAGAGCACCCGCATTTCCCGGGGTACCAGGTTCGGCGTCGTGTAATATTATTTCTGGTAGTAATTATACTGATTATTATTCTCTTACTGCTACTCACAATACTTGTGCAGGTTTTCCATCTGTGGGTCAGTCCTATCAGTCTCCTTCCCCCAGTTGTTTGTCAGTTGTGTTTTTCTCCATGTCACTCGGCGCTTCAATGCTCCCGTTTCACAGCTTCACATACCCCGACTCTGTCTGCCCTTCCTACAAGTGAAACCAATGATTTAGTCTGGTATCCTGACTCGGGGGCTTCTACTCACATGACTCCTCATGAAGGTATTCTTTCTTATAAAACTCCTTATACTGGCCCCAATCAAATGTGTGTTGCCAATGGTACTAAATTACCTATTTCTCATGTTGGTCACTTAAAGCTCATCACCCATGGTCGCCCGCTAAATATAAACTATGTGTATCATGTCCCACATATTAAATATAATTTTTTGTCAATTCAAAAATTGTGTGCGGACAATGCCTATCAAGTGATTTTTGATAAAAATTCTTTTTTTGTTAAGGACAAACAAATGGGGGGCTTCTACTTCAGGCACGTAATACAGACCATGTTTATCCTTTGGGGGAATTTGACTTTGCACCCCATTTAGAAATATTTTTGACAAAATGTTATGTGTTGAGGTGCAAAGTCAAAGTTTTTTGAAAATGGGGTGTAAAGTCCAATATCACCGATAAAGTGAGGTGCAAAGTCAAATCCCCCCTTATCCTTTTCATGCCCTTCAAGCCCGTGTGGTTCCTGGTCCGATCTGGCACAATCAGTTGAGGCATTGTGGTGATAGAGTTCTTACTAGACTTGGGCAACATAAATTAATTTCCTGTTCTTCTACTTTTGGTCATGATTGTGTTTCTTGTAAGTTGGGCAAGTCCCACAGACTTCCTTTTAGTGATATTACTCATGATTCTACTGCTCCTTTACAACTCATTCACTCTGATGTTTAGCAATCGCTCATTTTATCAAACTTTGGTTTTAAATATTATGTCTCTTTTATTGATGATTTTTCTCGATATACCTGAATTTATCCCATGCGTAGAAAGTCTGAAGTTTTTAGTCATTTCTGCAATTTTCAACGGTTAGCTGAAATTTTTTTGAACCTGGTGTTGGTCCAAAATTGGACGCTCGTAGGCTTTTAGGAAAGCCACGTACGACACTCAAGCAAGAATTAGGAAAGTACGAATATGGAAAGTTAGCCAGAAATAGCATATAGAAATCCTCCCCCTAATATGAATTACAAGCCGCCTTTTATAGGCGTATACAAATCGTAACCGCTACCGATAATAATGACTAACTAATTACAACATTAATAAAGAATTAAATACATAATTAATAGTGCATTAATTGCTTGACCGTTACTCTTCCGGGCTGGGAGGTCGGTCGGACTGGCAGGCTTCCCGCTGGGTTGGCAGGCAGGCTCTAGGTTGTGCACTTGGATCCACGGGTCCAAGTTCGGGGCTTGGGCTGATTAGGCTCTGGGCCTAGTCCTATTACTCCATCACGAGTCCCCCACTCCCTTAGTCGAGTAGTAGACTCGGCTAAGAGGGAGTAGTCCAAGTCAGTTGCTCTTCTCCGAGACTAGAAGATCCCCGCCCTTGTCCATGTTGGAGAGATGCCTCATTAAAAACCTTCATTAGGAAAAAACCCAATGGGAAAAAAATCCTAATGAAGGGAAAAAGAGTACATCTGACGCCCCCAAGATGAAGCAAGAGGTGAGATCCTCAACCTTTATTGTAATGGTCGCCATCTGCGAATAGGATGTCCATAACTGTTCTTCTCGTCGGGCCCTGACTCGTCAAGTTCGTCATTTGCTTCCTTGAAGACGGTAAGACCCTCGGTCCCCCACTTCATTTAGTTGTACCTACACATAAAAGAAACTAGTGTAGAATAGAGCATCCGGCCTGGTGTCGAACCGCGGCTCAATGTGTAAGTGAGTCGGACTCACTACTTGAAAAGAGGGACATCAAGTTCTCAAGTTAGGCCACACCCCAGTCTCTGAAAGAAAGATTGAATCCGCGAGTAAGTGAGGCGGACTCCTCACTCGAACGGATAATCTAACCCCAAAGAACTAAAGTATATCAACCTTTTCGAGAAATGTGAATGTCAATTAAGTGACAAAGTTGCCCGGAAGAGTGTGGCTCTAGGCCCCTAACAAGAGTTTAACTCGCCGCCCGAGGTTAGTAGTTCGAACCCGCAAGTAAAAACTTTTGAACGGGCGACTCGTCCCCCGAGGTCGGAGTGTGATGCACTATGAGGGGGTAAGAGCACGTGAGAACTCATATGAAGTCAAGAGTGTGTGGTATTAACATTTATATTGGAGCTTATTAATCGTCACACCCATATGACGTGACCCGATGGCGCGAGTGTGTGTGCTCGACCAGTGTACGAGTGTGTGTGCTCGTCCAGCGTACTTGAGTGATTAGATTTCATAAGTCCGTTGTTCAATGTTAAAATTACACACTTAACAAGAGTAAAAGCAACCATATCACTTAAAATTCTTTTCAAATATTTTTAATGTATGATTTCTTTTAATCAAATAGTTTGACATATTAACTGTAGGGAAATTGTTTTGGAGTACTTAGCTTTCAATAAGCCGAAACGTGGATGATATGTTGTTGAAACAATTCTGGGCCAACTAAACAAGGGGCCCATCCTTTTTCAGAGATGGGAGAAGGAGACGCCCTCCGTTGCCACTGCCAGTGAGCAAATTGTGAAGCCCTTGGCTATGGCCGCCACAGAGGTGGACTTCGGCCGGTGTTGCTAGAGGAGAGGTGAAGCTCTGACCTCTAACAGAGATCAGCGGCCTTAACCACGTCAAACGGTAGATCTCATCAGCGGCCGTCACGATGGCGGAGCGACCAGAAGCGATGCGGGCGTCGCTGTGACGGGGTACATGTCTAGCCTCGAATCATGCCTTTCGCGGACTCCAATTCTCCATTAATGGCGGAAAACAATGAAATTTCAGGTCGCGTTGGCGGTGAGGCGAGGGGCGAGCGGTGACTGCCCACGAGATGAGCACCGGTCGGAGAGAAAGAAGAGTGAGCGGCTAAGTGGACTGTGACCGCCGATCGAGGGAAACTCGCTATTCCAGCTGCCCCATCGGACCACCGGTCCAAGTTGAGAGAGGAATGCCAGCTTGTTTGTTCCGCACCTTCGTGAGCAGGGGTCCACCGATTCTCCATGTCGTAGAACTGTTGGCTGAGGAGACTGCTGTGTGAGGGAGCAGCACTGCCTCGTCGCGACTGCCGAAGAGTTCTCCACGTCGGCAAATTGCGGCGGGGCAAGGCGCCTGATGCGGTGTAGATCTCAACCTCAAAGCTGGCAGGTGTAACCTGGGTCTGATCATCCGGTCAGTAAAGCTCCGGCCATTTCCGTAAACATTCCAGGATGTTGAAATTCCTTTTAGGCAAAATTTTGGCTAGATTTTTTGGAGTTGTGATGAATCTTTTGGATAGTTCCAGGTGAGACCGATAGAAAGAAAGGACGGGGATAATGTGAGAGACGATAGAGGCTCTCAATGAAAGCACCAATGTTGGTCCAAAATTGGACGCTCGTAGGCTTTTAGGAAAGCCACGTACGACACTCAAGCAAGAATTAGGAAAGTACGAATATGGAAAGTTAGCCAGAAATAGCATATAGAAATCCTCCCCCTAATATGAATTACAAGCCGCCTTTTATAGGCGTATACAAATCGTAACCGCTACCGATAATAATGACTAACTAATTACAACATTAATAAAGAATTAAATACATAATTAATAGTGCATTAATTGCTTGACCGTTACTCTTCCGGGCTGGGAGGTCGGTCGGATTGGCAGGCTTCCCGCTGGGTTGGCAGGCATGCTCTAGGTTGTGGACTTGGATCCACGGGTCCAAGTTCGGGGCTTGTGCTGATGAGGCTCTGGGCCTAGTCCTATTACTCCATCACCTGGAAATCAAGGCTTTTTAGAGTGATGGTGGTTGTGAGTTTGACAACAATATTTTTTGCGAGCATTTTTTAAAATCCGGAATTTTATTTAGAAAATCTTGTCCTGACACTCCAGCTCAAAATGGTGTTGCGGAACGGAAACATAAACATCTTCTAGAATTAACTAGGACTATGCTAATTGATTCTTCTGTTCCTAGTCAATTCTGGGTTGATGCACTTTACACTGCTACTTTTATTATTAACCGTCTTCCCACACCTATTTTGGATGGACTTACACCATATGAAAACCTTTTTAATAAAATTCCATATTATAATTTTATGCGTGTTTTTGGCTGCTCCTGCTTTCCAAACTTTAATTTATTGTTGACTCTCATAATAAGCTATCACCTCACTCTATTCACTGTGTCTTATTGGATATGCACCGGGTTACACGGGCTACCGTTGTCTTTCTCCAACTACTGTTCGTGTTTATGTTAGTCAGGATGTCACCTTTCATGTTTTTCCATATCCATCCTTAATTTCTACCACCCCTATCCCCAATCCCCACTTAACATCCTCCTGATTGTCTTCCTCCACCCGTTGACTACAAACCTCACCACCAGACCAATTGCATCTAACCTCTCCCGTACCCACTCCACTGGTACCGCCCACTTCCCCACCAATTTCCTCACCCGCTGCCATCTCCCCACAACTTACCTCACCAACTACCATCTCCCCTCCTGATTCCCCTTTATCACCAGCCGTTTCTCCCCTATCCTCTACACCTGGCCGTGCCCTTACCTCACCTGGCAATCCACCTTCCGCCACTTCCACCAGTCCCATACACCCAGCCAGTCCTTCCCACTTAGCCGTTGCCCCACTTGATATCCATCCAATGCATACATGAGCCAAGGGTGGTATGTTTAAACCCAAACCAAATTTTAATTAAAGTGTCTTTTCTCCCCCGGATGATCCTACTTGTTTTACACAGGCAAATAAAAGTGAAGTTTGGCGAGCAGTCATGGCAGATGAATTTAATGTTTTAATTGCTAATAAGACTTGGGATTTGGTACCTTGGGACCACACTAAATATGTGGTTGGTTGTAAGTGGATTTGTAAAGGGAAAACTGTCAAATAGGTCCTCGAATTTTCATAAAAAGGTCAATTAAGTCCTTCTATAGGAGGTTCTGTCCGGCTGTCGCGATTTGGGGAAGTTACCGGTAGAATTTATTGATGACATTTTTTGAGTATATTATTCACCAAGTCTAGTTTAATCATACCAAATTTCAGCTAAAAATTCAATCGGGAACACATTCAAATTAATTCTTGAAGATAACTGCGCATTTTTGCGTTCTCGAATTAAATTGAATGCGCTCCTGATTAAGTTTTTAGCTGAAATTTGGTATGAGTAAACTAGACTTGGTGAATAAGATGCTAAAAAACTTTCATCAAAAAATTCCACC